TCAGAGCTCCAAGATGAGAGAATTTACATCTGGCTAGGAAATCAGATAAAAAAGATGTGACCTTTGAGCTGGACCTTGACTTGGCCTCACACTTTCTGCAGAGGTAGTTGTGTGAGCTGAGGCCCAGGGGTAAAACTGGTGTAGGAGGTAAGATCAGTCTGGAGTGAAGGCCTGGGAAGGGGAGTGGTGGGTGGATGCTGGCTAGGGACTGAAGCCTCAGGACACAGGTCCATGAGGGCAAGGTTGAGGAGTTTGGCTTTTGTTCTGTGGGTGGTGGGGAATTATTGGGAGGAGAATAATTCCAGCTCTCACTTAGGAAAGGTAAACAATAGCTTACACAGTGCTATGGAAGGGTATTTTCTAGCTTGTGTTTCTTTGTATGTCTGAAGCTTATAGGCCCATAATACTTTTTGATGTAGGGTCTTCGAGGTCATTCTTTGTTGTGTTTGGTTTATCTATTCCCTGTCAGGTTGTTTTGAGTTTTCCCACTATTCTAAATAAAGCTGAGATTGATATTTTTCAATACTCAAGAGCCAGGGTTTATTGAGCTCATACTCTGTTCTAGAACTTTACTAGGCATGGGAGACACGGAGATGAATGGGTGCCACCCTTGTCTTCTAGGAACTCATGGTCCAGGATAAACAATATGATATTTTTTCCTTTGTGGTCATCACTTCAAGGAATACCAGTCAACATGGAAACAAGATCAAATTTAAAATTTAAATTAATGTTACATTTCACCAATGATTTCCTAGAGAGATTGAATTGCCAGTTTGTATTGTCATGCTTTAATCTCAGGACTAGTACGTGTTGGGCCTTATTATTTTTATTCATATTTGGTATGACACATAATAGTACTCCATAGCCCTTTCGGGTGTGCTTCTTTAATAAGGTCGTACATTTTCTGTGTCAATTTCCAGCTTGCTTTCTTCATGTGAGAGTTGTCAATTCACTTGCTTTGAGCATGTGAAATGTGAGTATCTACTATATGTATTTATGCCCATTCTTCATATATTTGTATTATAAGCTTTCTCCACTTCAGGATTTTTTTATTTACTTATTTTCAACTGCTTTATTGATAGATAATTTAGATACCATACAATTCACCCATGTGAAGTGTACAGTTCAATGGTTCTTAGTGTATTCAAAGAGATCTGCAACTGTCACGAGTCCATTTTGGAAGGTTTTCATCCCCCACAAAAGAAACCCATACCTATTAGCAGTGACTCCCAAACCTCCCAAACCTCCCTCCCTGAAGCCTTGGACAACCACTAATCTACCTTCTGTCTCTATAGATTAGTCTATTCTAGATATTTCACATTAATGGACTCATACAATATGTGGTCATTTGTGACTGGCTTTCACTTAGCCAGATTCATCCATGTTTCATTCCTTTTCATTGCCAAATATTCTGTTGTGGAATACTGTATTTTATTTATCCATGTTATTAGTTGATGGATATTTGAGTTGTTTTCACTTTTGGATATTTATAGAAAATGCTACTATAAATATTCATGTGCAAGTTTTTGTGTGGACATGTATTTTCATTTCTCTCCGGTACATACCCAGGAGTGGAATTGCTGGATTGTGTTGTACACCATGTTTAGTCTTTTAGGAAACTTCCAGACACTTAAAGGACTTTCTAGAATTTCTATTCAGTTTCATTGGTGAAAGCCACACCATGCAGTTTCGATTATTGCCTTTGTCTGAAAGGAGTGCTTACTTTTCAACTGTAACTTTTCTGAAATCTAAGTATTTCTGATAGAAATTTAGAGTTCAAATTGATATGTGCTGTAAGTGTGAAATAGACACTGGATTTCAAAGACTTAATATGAAAGAATGCAAAATCATCAATAATTTTGTGTATTAATTACAAGTTGAAATGATGATACTATTTTGGATATATTGAGTTAAATAAAATATATGTTATTAAAATTTATTTCACTTATTTTTTTTCCTGTTTTTGTGTAGCTATTAGAAAACTTAAATTTATGTGTGTGGTGTGTGTATTTCATTTGGACCGCACTGCTCTAGAAGTTGCGCTAGTGTGCCTATTGAAGAAAGTAACCCCAATTTGACACCTGCTTCCCAGCTGTGTGTCTTTAAGCAAGTTAAAATCTCTCAGAGCAAGATTTAGTCTTTTTAACTATAAAACAGGAATAATAATTGTACCCACCTCACAAGTTTATTTTGAGGGTTGAGTGAGATATATATATATATGGTAAATCACTCCCTAAAATATAGTTAGTATTCATAAATGTTATTATTATTGTTGTTATTGCTGTGATTACCATCAATTTGTCAAGTTGTTTTTTAATCTGGAAGAATTTTTTATTGATATTACATTAAATCTCTATTTAATTTAGAACTTTTTTTTTTCTTTTTTTGATACTTAGTGTTTCCATCCAGGAACCCAGCATAACTTTAACCCAATTATTGTGTCTTCCTTTATTGCTTTAAGGAAAGTTATATTATTTACTTTAAATAAATCCTTCTTCCCCTGCATTACATTAGTACACCTCACTAGTTTTGTTACTTGAATTCTTTCTTGGCATTTTCTAGATATTTAGCATTCACTCATTAAGAATGCCTAACAACAAATGTACATTTAGCTAATGTGTTTTTAATGAATTGTTTAATGCTTTTTGTGGCTGTGTTTTGTGTTTCTATCCTGCATCTCCACTAAACTTATCTTTTGGCACTAGAAATTTTCTTTGTTCATCATTTTCTGTGTGAATGTCATCTGCTACAAAACAAAAAATAAGGTGGTACTTTTCCATTCCTATGCTCATTATTTCTTTTTTCATTTTTCCTTCCCTGATAACTATTATTAGCATTTAACCTGCTACATTAAATAGAAGTAAGTCCAGGGTATCCTTATCCTGATGTTAAAAAAATTTAACACCAAATTGTTTGTTTGTTTGTTTTTGAGATAGTCTCACTCTGTCACCCAGGCTGGAGAGCAGTGGTGTGATCTCAGCTCACTGCAACCTCAGCCTCCTGAGTAGCTAGGACCACAGGTGTACACCACCACGTCCAGCTATTTTTTTGTATTTTTAGTAGAGACAGGGTTTTGCCATGTTGCCCAGGCTGGTCTTGAACTCCCGGACTCAAGTGATTAGCTAGCCTCAGCCTCCGAAAGTGCTGGGATTACAGGCATGAGGCACTGCACCTGTAATGTCAAATGTTGATTTGTGACTTTTAGTGTAGAGTATTGTTTATTGCATTTAGAAAAACCTTTTTATAGCTTTAAAAGTTTTTTAAAAATCAGGTATAGGCTGGGTGTGGTGGCTCATGCCTGTAATTCCAGCACTTTGGGAGGACGAGGGGCAGATCACTTGAGCTCAGAAGATTGAGACCAGCCTGGACGACATGGTGAAACCCCGTCTCTACTAAAAATACAAAAAATTAACTGAGTGTGGTAGCACGAGCCTGTAGTCCCAGCTACTTGGGAGGCTGAGGCATGAGAACCACTTGAACTCAGGAGTGGGGGGCTTCAGTGAGCTGAGATCATGCCACTGCACTCTAGCTTGAGTGACAGAGTAAAACCCTGTCTCAAAAAAATAAAAAAGAAAAAAAGAAAAAGAAAGAATGAAAAAAAAATCAGGAAGAGCTATGGGCTTTATTCAGTGTGAATTTTCAGTTTTCTGTTTCTTCCCTCTCGTTAGGTCTCTCTGCTGCTCCAGCTCAGTATTACCTGATGCTGGCCTCCAAGAATGGCTCTGTCTGCTTCTAGGTTGTGTGGGCTGGGTCATCTCTTCATACGTAGCCTAAATTTGCTCTAAGTCAGGGCCTGGGGGGGTCCTTGGTGGATAGTGTACCCAAGACTTTGGACTTGTGCTTGTCACTTACATTTTGGCTCTGTGACACAGTTTTTCATATTTCCGGATCCTTGCTGAAACTGGAGATCATTATAAAAGAGAGAGATGATTTTCAGATAAGTGAGGGCCTATTGCATTAGGCAGGGTTCCTGACAGTGTTTGGTAAATGGATGAGAATAAATGATAGACCTTGACTGCAGAGCCCCAAGACAGCTGTTACTCCTTCACATTTCTGTTGTTTATAATGACAATAAACACCTCATCCCATCACTATCTGATCTTCCTCAGAAAGAACCACTGACTGTTAGAGGGAAAAATCATTTACCACAGACAAATGAAGAATAACTTGTGACTTGCTTTGTCACTCCCTAAAAATATTTGAGAGATAGAAAATATAACTTTCCTGCTTTTAAAGAACATACATGTATTAAAGATTGATATAGAGGGAGTCCTTGCTATCCGAGATTTTATATTGGAATCCTTGCAGTTACAAAGCTTACAGGGAAGCGAAATTCATCATAAAGAAACAAAGAAAAAAATCACCAAAGACAAAATCTTGCTATAAAATTATCCATCATCAAACATCTGAACCTGACAACTCCTTGTTTCTGTTCACTGTCCATGTTTTTCCTCTCCTGTACCTCTGACTCCAGCAGTACATCCTGCCTGGGATGCCCGTCTGCCTGTCCTTCTGTCAGTCCATCCATCCATCCATCCATCCATCCATCCATCCATCCATCCATCCGTCGATTCACTCAGCAGCAGTTATTGAATATCTTCTGTGTGCCAGGATCTGGGCTATATAGGCATACCCTAGACATGTCTCAGAGTGCAGCTCAAATGCCACCTCTTCTTCTGAGTACCAAATGTGTCCCTGATTCCCTATTCCCTGCCCTACAAAGTTGAAACTGCTCTCCCCCTTCTGTGTGTGTCCATAGCACTTCATGGGTGCTTTCTAGATATTTAACATTAGCTCATTAAGAATGCCTGTCTGTATGACTTCTCTTTTAGAGGACAGTCCTAAGTTCTGCTAGTGGCATTTGTGTCTTATTTATCTCAAGAGGAGAGATGGTTTCTGCTCAGCTTGCATCTTTCTCCATGATGCTTAGGGCTGACCCAGTCCATGACCAACAACCAGAGTCTTCTCTTTCTGTTTTTTACATAGTCATTCTCTTCCAGGGCTAAAGTTGCTGCAGCTGATGGGCCCGCCAGGAACCCAACTCAGACCCTCATCCCTGTGCGGCACACAGTAAAGATAGACAAAGACACCCTCCTCCAGGACTACGGATTTCACATTTCTGAGAGCCTTCCCCTTACAGTGGTGGCTGTCACAGCAGGTAGGGGATGACTGGGAAATGAGAAAGAAGTTTGGTTTCTTAAGGGGAAATAGCCCCAAATCTCCCTGATCTCTCTATCCTACAACAAAATGCAGAAAATCCTACCCTGGGAAGTTAGAAAAGGCACACCTAATTCTGTCTTGGGCTTTGCACCTTACTTTGATGCTGGGAGGGAGCAGCCTCAAGCGCACTTGCCGCTCCAAACCCCAGGCTCCCGCTGGCCTTGGCTAGGGCTTTGCCCACCCATGGCTCCCTGGCTGGTCTCAGGGGCAGTGAAAGTATTTGGCTAAGCTAGCCCTCCTCTTTGAACCCCACCTGCTCCTAGCTGGGGATACTTTCTGGTCAGACAGTAATAGAAACTATTGATTTGTTTTCACTTGAACCTTGTGAAATATAGGCTGTACCAGGGAGGAGAGGAGCAGGTGGGGAAAGTCCAGTGCTTGTCTTCATACTTGAGGTGTGTTAATCTGGGATTCATTAAAATGTATTAATTTCTATTTACACACACATACACACCAGAGCTTTTTAGAGATGAATGGAGTGGATTTACTGGCCAACTCTGTTGATTTAGAAGGTTCTGGCTAGTTTTCTTTCTCAGGACAGTCTTCTAACATCCCCGGAAGTTGGTGATAGATAATAGGTATCTTATCCATGGTTTATAAACAGGAAGATTAAGATCCACATGAGCCCAAGCCTGACTGAAGGTGGGGTAGTGAGCTAGTGCCCCTGGGGACTGGATCAGGCTGCCATTTAGCTGTGCTGCTATTACACATGGAGTCTGGGTCCTCCCGGCGTGAGCACCAATTACTTATTTTCTGTCCAACAGGAGGCTCTGCACATGGCAAGCTTTTCCCTGGTGATCAGATCCTCCAAATGAACAATGAGCCTGCTGAAGACCTTTCCTGGGAACGAGCAGTTGATATTCTCAGGTACTAAATGGTCTTCCATCATATACAGAATTGCACAGATTATCAAAGAACAAAGATGGGCAACAGGAATGGCATAACTGATCCCCTGATTTTAATAAGGCTAAGTATCCTTTAAAGCAGCAAAAACAGCCTTGTTTTAGAACGGCTATTTTTATCTATTAAAACGCCTTCTTGTTAGTGGCTGTTGTAGTCCAGTCTCTCTCACTTGGCTACAAAAGAGCTTGGGGGGCACAGAGTGCTGTATTTGTCAAAGCCCTGCCATGCCCAAGACACCGTGCTAAGCACTGCAGGGAATGCAATGATCATAAATAACCCATAGGCCCTACCCTCTAAAGCTTTATAGACACATTGTAACATATGCCAAAGATTGAACTAAATTGATACCAAATCTGTTCTTCTTTATCCCTCTTGATATCTCTTCTTAAATATAATTGCAGGTGCATCTTGGTTGGCATATATGTAGTTTCATTGATGCAGCACCTCCAAACCTTCTGCCTGGTGTCATTGTGACTTATGGAAATGCCTCACTTTCTACCTAGACAATGGTTTCCTGAGACCAGGGCTCAGTGGGTGCTCAGTTAAATGAGTGAATATGGTTAGCGCTGGGAATTGGCAACCTAGACTTTAAGATGGAGGAGTGCCATTAATAGGAGTAAAGAGGACAGCAGACATTTTAAGGACACATGCAAGCTTGGGATTTAAAATTTTTCATTCAACATTGTTCTAATGACTAATATAAAGAGAGATGAGAAGCAGAGGTAGGTGAAGCTAACTTGAAGATATATATACAATTCAGTTTGTGCTTTTTATGAATGGCTGATCTGGCTTTGGGGATGGTATTAATTTGTTTTTTTTTCCCTTTTTTTGAGATAGGGTCTTGCTATGTTGCCCAGGCTGGTCTTGAAACTCTTGGGCTCAGTGGTCTCCCCATCCCAGCTACTTGGTGGCTGAGGTAGGAGAATCGCTTGAACCCGGGAGGCAGAGGTTGCAATGAGCCACGATCGTACACTGCACTCCAGCCTGGGTGACAGGCAAGACTCCATCTCAAAAAAAAAAAAAAAAGAAAAGAAAAAAAAGAAAAAGAAAGCCGAGGAAATACACTGTAAATGCTGGAGAGTCCTCCAACTTGGGCAGAAGTTGTAAGTTGACAAACAGAGAAGGCGCAGAAATATTTCAGTTGTGTCTTTAATGCTGGGTAAAATTTGGTCCAAAAGATGGAGATGAACGGTGGATTCAGGCAAAGGGGTAAGCAGAAGCAACAGGGTGGGAAGTAGGGGCTGCTGAGCAGTTTAGTTTGCCTGAAGAAACATTCTAGGAAGTGAAGTCCAGGTGATGGAGGGTCTTGAATGCCAGCACAGCACGTTTCAGTGTGATTCTCCCCCTGGAAGGGCCGAGCAGTTGAAGGCTTCTGAGCAGGGGTGCGTGACTTGAGGTGTGCTGTGCATTTGTGACCTCTGCTGTGTTTTGCATGTGAGAATCCCAGGATGCCTTCATTTTTTTTTAGCTTAGCTCCCAGTGTTAAAACAGCATGTATTATTCAGTGTCACGTGTAAAGGTAAAACACAAGCAAAACAAAATGATACAACAATGCCAAGAAAACATCTCAGATTTCTCCAAATAGCTGCGAGGCCGATATGTCCTTTTAGAGCCTTTGCACTTTGGTTTATTGTGATTTATCTCAGAAAAGTCCTGTTCTCATTTAAAATGGAAAAGAGGAAGTCCCCAGACACTTAGACATCTTGGGTTGAGTTTATCCATTTGAGGAAATAACATACCAGCAGCAATTGGCCTAAATGTTCATATTACAAGAAGTCAAATGAAATTATTTTGCAAACTGCTTCTCCATGATAGCAGTGGCAAAGAGAAAGGAAATATGAATCGATTTTCTCTGTTCTGCCTGCTAATATAAAGTAGAGGTTCGGCAGTTATCTGCTTGATTTGATCACTTTGAATCTAAGAGATAATGCAAGACAGAGATGTTCACTATCTTGATTATATGATTGGGCTCATTACACTCTGTGTGCCCAAACACCATAAACCCTTTGGCTTTTATCTGATAAATGTTATCCACAGACATTCATTCCATTTAGTGAAATGCTTAGCATGAGTTTTCTGAAATAGCAACCTAAGTTGTCTGTGTTATTGCCATATTTTCTCTTAAAAATATTTTAGGGTCAGGAGCAGTGGCTACACTTGAATCACAGCACTTTGGGAGGCCGAGGCAGGCAGATCATGAGGTCAGGAGTCTGAGACCAGCCTGACCAACATGATGAAATCCCATCTCTACTAAAAATACAAAAATTAGCTGGGTATGGTGGCGGGCACCTGTAGTCCCAGCTACTTGGGAGGCTGAGGCAGGAGAATTGTTTGAACCGGGAAGGCAGGGGTTGCAGTGAGCCAAGATTGTGCCATTGCATTCCAGCCTGGGCAATAGGGCAATAATCTGTCTCCAAAAAAAAAAAAAAAAAAAAAAAAAAATTGGGGGACATAAATATAACTAGTAGTCACTAGATGAGTTCTTCATTGTATGGGACTAAATTAAGGCTAAGTGCCTTAATTAATGTTGTGGCTGTAGATATAGACTAGATGGTGGAGGTGGCCATATGAAGATTCCCTCCAGGTAGGAGGAGCTCTCTGGGTCAGCTTAAGTTCCTTTGTAGGTTGCTGCATTTCCCAATATCTTTCTCGGTTTTGCTGAGCCAAAAAAGCTAAGGCAAAGGAAGCTGCTTTATACTCATTCTGCCAGTCTTTTTGACCCTAACACACACGCTCACACATGTGTGCATGCACGTGCATCCATCACACAGAATGACTAAATTTTTTTCTTTATTCTTTCTTTTTTCAGGGAAGCGGAAGAGTCTCTTTCAATCACAGTTGTTCGCTGCACATCGGTAAATCTCATTCTATGTCCTGTGTGTTAGTTTCACCATTCTTGGCCCTAAGACCCTGTTCCCCCAGAGGATATCCCTCATAAAGTAAGCAGGGAAGACAGAGGGTGGAGGGTGACAGCTGCCCGGCAGTGGGTGGCCAGTCAGTCCATGTTATCTGAAGACCTCCTCCATGGAAGTACTGTGGAGGAAACAGATATGGTGCAGGCCTCCAGAATGTCTGGCCCAGCTGAGGAGATAGATCTATGACTATACACAGTAGGATGATGGTAAGTGCACCAAACTGGACTTTTAAGACAGGTTTGAGTGGCATGACTTTGGGAAAATCGTTTAGTCTCAGTTTCACTTTTGTAAAATAGTGGTCATGACAATAACTGCCTTGTCTGTCTAATGGGTTGTTAGGAGGACCAAATGAGATGTTGGATATGAAGTGTTTTATCGGCTCCGAGTTTCACCACACAGCAAGGTGTGGCATAGATGATCCTAAACCACCACAGGCCAAGAAGCTCCTCATGTATTATTTAGGGAAAGTATATAATCAAATTTTCAAAGGAAAAACTACTAAGGAGATAGTTTTTCAAAAGTTGATAGAAAATTTTTATTGTGAGAAACTTTAATATGTACTTCTTAGCCTTGGCCACAAATAGACCAAAATAAAAAAAGAGGGGCATAGGGAATTTTAATAATGCATTTAATAACCTAATTTAATTGACCACATACCAAGCTACCAAGAAAACTCAATAAATTCCCCAAATGAAAAACTGTGCAGGTCCCTTTTTCTGAATATAATAAAATAGAAGCTAATAACTATTAAAAATTTAATTAAAAACCATTCAGCCATTCGGAAATAAAAATGTAATTTCCTAAGTAAAGATGGAGTCAAATAGAAAGAGCAAAATTGTCATTATAGACTATTTAGAAATAATTGAAAATTAAAACTGTACTTCTTTTATTTTTTCTTGAGATGGACTCTCGCTCCCGTCACTTAGGCTGGAGTACAATGTCATGATATCAGCTCACTGCAACCGCCACCTCCCGGGTTCAAGTGATTCTCCTGCCTCAGCCTCCCAAGTAGCTGGGATTACAAGCACCTGCCACCACGTCGGGCTAATTTTTGTATTTTTGGTAGAGACGGGTTTCGCCATGTTGGCCAGGCTGGTCTTGAACTCCTGACCTCAGGTGATCCACCTGCCTCAGCTTCCCAAAGTGCTGGGATTACAGGTGTGAGCCACCATGCCCGGCCAGAACTGTACTTCTTAAAACTAATTTTGTGCAGTTGAAGCTATACTCAGAGTAAAATTCATAGCCTTGAGTGGTTTTATCATTTAATACAGAAGTAAATCAATTAAATATTCAGTGCAAGAAGCTAGAAGAAAAGATTAATAAAACAAACACAAAACAGAATAAAGTATAAAAATTAAAATATAAATGATCCTCTGGAAAACAGAAAGATTGTAATGTTGTTAAGTCTAAGAGCTATTTCTTTAAGGACAAAGGTTATATAAAATGCAAAAACTTAAGGGAAAGAGATAGGTGAGCCTCATGTGGAGGAAACTAGAATATTTCTGACATATACAAAAAAATTAACATAAAAGGAGATACATACTATGTTCCTTGATGGGAAGACTAAGTATTATTAATATATCAGTTATTATATTTATATACTTAATACAAATTCAAGCAAACTCTTACGGGACTTTCATTTGGATTTAACAAAGTTTATCAAAGTGAGACTTATCAAGAAAACCTTTTTTAAAAAGGATAATGAGGATGGCCTTGACAGGCAGATTTAAAAACGAACAAAGCTACAATTATTAAAACAGTATTATACTGGTGAAATGTTGAACATGTCAATGTAATCAGATAAAAAGTTCAAGAGTAGATGCTAGTATAAGAACATAGTATGTGAGGCCGGGTGCAGTGGCTCATGCCTGTAATCCCAGTATTTTGGGAGGCTGAGGATGGTGGATAGCTTGAGCTGAGGGGTTCAAGACCAGCCTGGGCAACATGGCAAAATCCCGTCTCTACAAACACAAAAACAAAAACAAAATGATTATAACTGGCAGGGGCTTAGGTGAGAGAATTACTTGAGCCCAGGAAGTCGGGGCTGCAGTGAGCTGAGATCGCACCCCTGCACTCCAGCCTGGGTGACGGAGACTATATATATATATATATATATATAGAGAGAGAGAGAGAGAGAGAGATCATATATATATATATATATAGAGAGAGAGAGACCATATATATATATAGAGAGAGAGAGACCATATATATATACACAGAGAGAGAGACTATATATATATATATATATATAAAACTATATGTGTGTATGTGTGTGTGTATGTGTATAGTTTGTGAAAAACATAGCATTCCAAATCTGTGGGAGAAAAGGCAATTATTCAAGAAATCAAACTTGGACATTTGTTTAAGTATTTGGAAAAAATCTGGTCTCAGCTCTAAAAATGCAAACAATATGGATGGATGTCTGTCTGGTCACAGGCTGTAGAAAGGTTGCCTACACATTTAGGGCATGGAAGGAAGCACAGTGGAACAAAGGTGATTTGATTACATGAAAATATAAACCTTCTGTGGTCCAAACACTCCATAACACTAGAAAGCAGAGAAATTGTTGTCTCCTCTCTGTATTTGACAAGTGTTATCTTTTGTTTTTATTTCTTGGAAATAGAGTAGGAAAAAACCCACCTAATTAGAATGAAGATGTTTGCCATATGTCAGACCAAGTATTTTATGTATCGATAAATGGAAGTTCTTCTATTCTTAACATAATTTGTCTGTTAAATAATATGAAACCAATATGGAAACAGGGAAATCTAATCAGTTTAAATGATAGTGCAGGTGTTAGGATGTCCTTTTTATTTAGCTGGTTATCTCTCATTGGAGAGTATTTTAATCTTAATCAGGCAGGTTTTTTTCCTGATCTGTTTCCAAGAAATGAGCAAAAGAAAATACTTAATGCAGGGAGCGAGGGAAACAACATAGAGGTGAATCCTTTAAATAATAAAAAGTATGGGAAGGTGAAAATTGGTATGTGTCCAGTACCACTCCTGAGATTCCTACAAGATTTCCAGGAAGAGAGGAACGTAAATACTGTGCTCTGGAGGTCTCTCAGGGAGAATTGCCATTAGCCCAGTCTGTGGCCATCAGTACCTCTGAGAAATGCCCTAAATATTGGCTAGCCTGCTTCTGGGCCTCTCACCAGAACTGCTCCGAAGAATTTAATTTAATTTAATTTAATTTAATTTAATTTAATTTTATCTTATTTTATTTATTTTTGAGATGAAGTCTTGCTCTGTCACCCAGGCTGGAGTGCAGTGGCATGATCTTGGCTCACTGCAACCTCCGCCTCCTGGGTTCAAGCGATTCTCCCACCTCAGCCTCCTGAGTAGCTGGCATTACAGGCATGCACCACCATGCCCAGCTAATTTTTATATTTTTGGTAGAGGCGAGGTTTCACCATATTGGCCAGGCTGGTCTCGAACCCCTGACCTCAAGAGGTCCGTCTGCCTCAGCCTCCCAAAGTGCTGGGATTACGGGTGTGAGCCAATGCGCCTGGCCCCGAAGAATTTTAAAAACATTGCAAAATGATCATATATATCTTGCTTTAGCAAGGAGCCTCGTTGTTGTGGTCGATTCTTAGAGACCTCAAATTACTTGAAACTGATTAGGAATGTTAAAATCCACAGTTGCAACATTAATTACTGCTTCTCTAGAACACAGAATTTTATGAAAAAGGTTCTGATTTAAATTTGTAGATCTGTATTGTCTATATTCATTGTCTATAATACATTAATTATTTGTAATAATATTAATGCCAGTATTTAATGTCTTATTTAATTTGCACCAAAAGGAAATGCTATGAGGAAGATACACTCATTATCCCCCCTTTACAGATGAGGATGCCATGGGCCTCACACGCCCACAGTCTCACATGCAGAAATCAGTGAAGTTGTGTTGTTTTCCAGGTAGACTCCAGAACCCACATTCCTTAGTGTTATGCTATTGTATCTTTGTAATCCCTGCTGCCTTCATGAGTGACAGCGTGTAGCCCAGGACAGAGGGTACTGCCAAAAGATATAGGAATGTTTTCCAACATGTCCCTTTCAGTGCCCTTTTAAACATTAACTCTTAGTTCAGCAAAAAAACATGCACAAAGAGATTTTATCAGCTGAGGTCTGCTGCTTTCTGATGAATTAATTTAGAATCCAGGGAGAACTTAGAAGTTCTAGAATAATGAGTAACTCATATTCTTTGAATTGTCTCTTTAAAATATTAGATGGCTGAAGTGGATGTAAGTAGGTGATTTATATGTTCTAGATGCCAATATATTCAGGTATAAAAATACAGGAGCCACAGTGGGGCCTGTGTGTTGGGCATTTTCATGTCAGCATGTTTTTTTCTCAAAGCAGCCAGTTTCATGGTTGGGTGGTTCCAAATGTAAGAATGGCCCTTCTTCCCTATGACTCCCACCAACTAGTCCCAAGCAAGTCCACTTTGTATGAAATGGCAAAGATTTGGAAGAGTGACCTCTAGGCTAAACAGCTGTTCCATTGACCATTCCTCATAGATGCGTTTTTCTGAATTCTCACTTCTCTGAGAGCTTTCTGGACAGAGTCCAATTTCATAGTGACCCTCCCAAATAGTGGCACCCAGAAAGGAACACAGTTCCACCAATGCTGAGTACCATGGGGAGTGGACATGCACCAGGAATGCTAGTAAAGCCCAAAATTGGGTTAACATTTTCGCAGGCTCAATCACACTGTTGGCTTGGGTGAAACTGGTGACCAACTAAATCCTGAGCTTGTTTTCAAAGGAATAGCTTCCAAGCCACGTCCCTTCAATTCCATGCTTGTGCAATTGAATTGAATTCTGTGCAATTGATTTTTGGATGCTCAATGCCACACTTCACATTAATCCCTGTCATGTTGCTTTTGCTCAGTGTTCTGGCATGCTGAGATTTTACAGTCAGGGAACTGTGGGGCTGAAAGGTTTATTTGTACAGTTGAGAGCTGTAGTCATTCTCCAGTGACTTCCTGTCAGGGAACCTCCTCTGCCTAAGTCCACTCCAGTTCCTTCAGTTTCCTGCCAGTTGATTTTCTTGAGCATGATCCAGTTCTGGGCCCAATTCTTCCAGGATTTATCTCCCAAAGGTGAGAGACAACAGTGTTCCTGCAGATTCCTTTTTTTTTTTTTTTTTTTTTTTGAGACGGAGTCTCGCTTTGTCGCCCAGGCTGGAGTGCAGTGGCCGGATCTCAGCTCACTGCAAGCTCCGCCTCCCGGGTTTACGCCATTCTCCTGCCTCAGCCTCCCGAGTAGCTGGGACTACAGGCGCCCACCACCTCGCCCGGCTAGTTTTTTGTATTTTTAGTAGAGACGGGGTTTCACCATATTAGCCAGGATGGTCTCGATCTCCTGACCTCGTGATCTGCCCGTCTCGGCCTCCCAAAGTGCTGGGATTACAGGCTTGAGCCACCGCGCCCGGCCCAGATTCCTTTTCTCTCTGCATCTCTCCTCTGTTCTGCCCCTGATTTCTTATTCCTTTGAGTCTTTGGGATGGTGGTGATTGTACCTGTTGACCACTCACTTTATCTTATTCCCTGCAGCTCTTGACAGTCCAGCTCCTTATACCCTCTTATATTTGTTTTTAGTGATTTCCTGGCCTTTGACCCATAGCTATCTCTGGTCCTTAAGTTTCCCATGCACCCTCTTATAGATTCCCAGTTCCTTGATCTTGCCCCCAAAATTCTTGCTGCCTGATATCTGATGACACCTTGCAGCTCTGTCCTTCACAGGTTTGGCAAGTTCACTCTCTCTGGCTTCAACCAAGGCATTGCTAAACATCACTGTTGAGGATTGAGACTAAGTTACTTAGTTAGAAATCAGAACTATTTTGAGTATATGTCAACTAGTTTATGAATCCACCTAATGGCACTGCATCTGGCCTTTTCCACAGGGGGATTATAGGAGACCTTATCAAATGCTTTGCAAGAATGAAGGAATACTGCTATATCTACAGAACCCTGGTCTACCAATATGGACTTCTATCTTCAAAGGAAAAATGAACTTGGTTGGCTCTGACTTGTTCTTGGTAACTCCATCTCTTATCTTGGATTTTGCCAAGAATATATATATATATATATATATATATTTTTTTTTTTTTTTTTTTTTTTTTTTTTTTTGAGATATAGTCTTGCTCTGTCATCCAGGCTGGAGTGCAGTGGTGCAATCTTGGCTCACTGCAACTTCCACCTCCTGGATTCAAGCAATTCTCCTGCCTCAGCCCCCCGAGTAGCTAGAACTAAAGGCATGTGCCACCATGCTCGGCTAATTTTTGTATTTTTAGTAGAGACGGGGTTTCGCCATGTTGGCCAGGCTAGTCTCAAACTCCTGGCCTCAGGTGATCTGCCTGCCTCAGCCTCCCAAAATGTTGGGATTACAGGCAGGAGCCACCGCACCCGGCCTGATTTTGCCAAGAATTAATGACAAACTTACCAATATGTGTTTTCCTAAATCCTCCATATTCATTTTCTGGAAAACTTGATATTTGATCATCTTTAGTCTCCTAACATTTCTTCCATTCTCTGTTCCATGGATGATACGAGCTGTTACATGTTGTAGGTCCACAAGCCCATTAGATTCAAGTGGTATGGGAGTCTTGAGTTCATTCAAAGCAATCTGATAGTCTTATCACTAATTTTGGGTTGTAGCTTTTCTTTCTCTTATTCCTTCTATCCCTTCTCTAATTTCTACAGGTGTGCTTCTTCTCTGCAAACATTATTTCTTCCCTGCTTTTCTACTAATTTTTTTTAAAGCAAATTATATATTTGAGATGTTGAGTCATAGTCATGAATCCTGTCCTGCCATTATCCGTGAGAATCACATTTACCTTTTTGCATTAAAATTTCAGGGCTACTTGTTCACTTCATGTACTTCATGGATTTGGTCTGTTGGTATTTGAGTCTACGAACATTGTTTCTAAGAGTTTCCCTGATTGTTGTTATGTATCTCTTCTCCCATCTTCACAGAATGTGGCCCAGAGTTTCATCTTCGTACTGTTACACATGGAAACATTCTAGAGGCTGGCCTAAAGGACTGTCCCCACCAAGGGAACATAGGATGTTAGGCTGGAAAATAGTGTATCAGGATTTCATCCAGGAAGGTCACAGCCTGTTGGTCTAGAAGATCATGTAAGATGCTATTCAGCAAGTGTCACAATTTGGCCTGATACATTCTAGTCCAAACATTTCACCATATACTCATACCAACCTGTGATGACTCCCTTCACTTCTTTGGGAAAAGAGGGTACCTGACAAAAGATAAGAGCAAAATGGGGCCAAGGGTAAGTCATAAGGGTCAGAGTTTCAGGGAACCCCAACTAACTCCTATATTATACAGATGGGAAGACTCTGAAGGCCAGAGAGGGGCAAGGACTGGACCAAAGTCACACAGAGTTATTTTGTTGTGCTTTACACACCTACCTGGTTTTCTTTCATAAGAATTTGAGTTTGAGATAGTTCTCACAACTATTGAGCAGTAAAACATGAGTAGGAATTGAGATCGTCCCGTTCACAGGCCAGAACTCTTTGTCTTCATCATATCACAGCTATTTTGCTACCATGCTGAATGTCCAACTATTCTCAGATACATGAGAACATTATCTGGCTTGGGATCCCTAGATTTTATGAAAATACCTATAATGGGATATCCTCCTTTCCTGTGGGTTTAAATTGAATCTGCAACAGCTATCAAAGTTTCTGTTTTTAAGAAATGAGAAGATAGATATACCTGGCTTTTATGAAAGCACTGTTCCAAAATGTATCATGTTAATGTTTTTCAGGGAGTCCCTAAATCGTCCTTCCTGACCGAGGAGAAGAGAGCCAGGCTGAAGACCAACCCTGTGAAGGTGCACTTTGCTGAAGAAGTGCTCATCAGTGGACACAGCCAGGTGTGTCACTAGTCAAGTGATTGAAATTACTCCTTATGAAGCTGGCGAGCTGCCTTCTGGCACATAACTCCCTGAACCTCTGGAATTCCACAGCACAGAGAGGATGCAGAGGAAGTGCAGTGCATTTGCAAGAGGCTTTGTGCACCTTCCCAGTCAGACGCCTGCAGACCCTGGACTGGGAGAGCTGGTGGGAGCTCTGGGCCATGGGTGGGGACTGGGAAGAAGAGCACTGGGTTTGGCCCTCTATTGTTCTGTGACTCCATTCTTCTGCCAAAGAAATTTCAACAGATTCCAATAGTTAATTTCTCATTGTGCATCTTCAAATGTATTATCCTCTCTGAAGGTGATCTATTGATAATCGTGCCAGTGGTGATGGGATTGCTTTTTATTTTTAAGAGCCCATCATCTGTTGAACCTCTATTATGTGACCTAAACTTTATGTGTACACAGTCCTTAGTCATCACAATACCCTGCAAGGGAGATGTTTTAACAAAAGAGGAAGCAGAGGCCTAGAGAGATTAAGAGACTTAACTCTAAGATCACATGGCGGGAAAATGCAGGAGCCCAGGTCCATGTGACTTTGATTCTTTGGTTTTTCACTGTGACGTGCTGTCTAGTCCTTTTTGATATGGAGAGACCCAGGATTGGGGGTTCAGAAGACAAATTTGTAAAGGGAAAATGTTGGCTAGAGTTTGATTTTAATGTGGAGTGCTGGATAAAAGGTGCATTTATTCATAATTTGTACATTTTCCCCCCAGTAGTCTATAACTATTGCCATTCTGAATTTCTTAATATTAGACTTTGAAACTTTAAAGTCAAAACTTGTCCTTATCTTGTCTTCTCACCATAGAGACCAGCAAAGGCCGGGGGAGTTAGAGGGGTGGGGGCTATGACCATTTTAACAAAGGATCCAGGCGACCTGGTCCACATCTACAGAGCACTTATTTTCTACCTGCCCTGCTACTTAATAGGGCATACCTTCAGATAGACTTGAGTGAGAAAGGTGGACTTGTTCAGGAAGGCGCCAGTGGGAGGCCTAATGCATGACTCAGAAATCACCTGTCAGTTGGCAATATTTGAGTCATGTTTGTGAAATTGGATTGAGTCTCTTTAGAAAATTAAGTTTAGATTCTGCCAGGCATGGTGGCTCACGCCTGTAATCCCAGCACTTTGGGAGGCCGAAGCAGGCGAATCACGAGGTCAAGAGATCAAGACCATCCTGGCTAACATGGTGAAACCCTGTCTTTACTAAAAAATACAAAAAAATTAGCCGGGCATGGTGGCAGGTGCCTGTAGTCCCAGCTACTCGGGAGGCTGAGGCAGGAGAATGGCGTGAACCTGGGAGGCAGAGCTTGCAGTGAGCTGAGATCACACCACTGCACTCCAGCCTGGGTGACACAGCCAGACTCCATCTCAAAAAAAAAAAAAAAAAAAATTAAGTTTCAGTTCAACACATGACTCTTCATCTCAAGAGTCATGCACAGTGATGAGTAGTAAGGGTGAGAACCAGTTAGCAGGACAGGCAGAGAATAAAGGCACTACAGGTGTGGACAGGGTCACCTGGTTGATTTGTTAAAATGGCCATGACCTCCCATTCACTGCTGTCTATGCTGAGGGGACCAGATAAGGACAACTTTCACCTGAACTGGCTACAAAACTGGCTCAGAGTTTTGGTGGGGTTGGGGAGTTTAAAGGAACAGCGTTCTAAAAAGTTGTCTCTGGGAAGACTTGGAAGGTTGGGGCACCTCAGGGAATCTTTGGGAGTCTCTGCATCAGCCACACAAGGCAGAGATAGCAAAACAAGTAAGAGTTCATCCCTGTAACCTGTCTATTCATCCTTTCAAGTGTTTAAAAGATGATAAAATTGGCTGTTAAACTTTTCCCCTTGGAACATGGTAAGACTGCCTTAGATACACAATCACTGTGTTAAGAAGGATCTGAGATAGTAAACCAACATTTGAAATATGTTTGACTTGCTCACAGTTAAACAAATACAAAGGAAAAATGTTAAAAAGTAAAACTTTATACTTAGCAAACGAGCACAGAGAAAAAATGTAAGCCCCAGTGCTGAGAAAGTAATTATAGTCATGCACTACTGATGGCTTTATAAATTGGCTTAAACGTTTTTGAGTGGAAAAACAAAATTTAATGACTGCCATAAAAAGTGACCCAGAGATTGCATTCCTATTAGTCTATACAATAATTTAAATGTGAAAATCCATATATTTAAAGATATCTGTAGTATCAACATTTTAAATAGCTCCCAAAATGGAAAAACATGCTCAGTTGTCTAGGGCAGAGGAATTGTGAAATCAGTTCTGATATTTCAACTCAATAGAATATTATAAAGGCATTAAAATTATGAACATTAAACCCACCTAAAAATTGTATATGAAATGCACATTGGGTAGAAAATGAACATAGAATCATGCATATTAAATTATTGCAGCTCTCTAAAAACTATTTACAGATATAGATAAAAATTGGAAGACGCCTTAGGGAAAAGTAAGTGGTGGTAGTTATGTAATGTTGCTATGAATACATTCTTTGTAAACCTTTTAAATCACAAAGAAAGTACTAAGGAAAAAATTTCCCACCTGGGACACCCCAAAATTCAGATTTCTAAAAACTCCAAGCCAGAGAAGTAAGATGGCAGCAGAGTAAGCGGTCTGAAATCCCTCATCCTGATGTAGTGTGAAATGGCACTGGAATATGAACATCTTCCTTTTTCTTCCGTAAAAATACTGTGTTTTTTTTTTTTAAAAAAAGTTATAGACCTGGGAGACAGAGGTTGCGGTGAACCGAGGTGGTGCCACTGTACTCCAGCCTGGGCAACAGGGTGAGACTCTGTCACCAAAAAAAAAAAAAAGTGATGACTGTGAATCTTGCTTAGAAGATATAAGCACCTTTATATTTAGAAGATTCAATAGTCTCATCTGAAAAAACTGGCAGTTTATTTGTTTGTTTGTTTGTTTAAGATGGAGTTTTGCTCTTGTCGCTCAGGCTGGAGTGCAGTGGTGTGATCTTGGCTCACTGCAACCTCCGCCTTCCGGGTTCAAGCAATTCTTCTGCCTCAGCCTCCAGAGTAGCTGGGACTACGGGTGCCTGCCACCACGTCCAGCTAATTTTTGTATTTTAGTAGAGATGAAGTTTCACCATATGTGGGCTTTATACCCAAACTCTTTATAGAGATGAGTACAGGGGGGCAATTCTAGCTCAGATCTTGGGAACTCTAAAATCTCTCTGTGCTTCTGGAGGACACCAGCCCCAAGGGCCCTTTGTATTTGCAACCAAACACTCCGAATTCACTTCTTAGGAGAACTGGGAGATTCTCCAAAACCCTCTCCTGCTCCATCCCAGGAGTTCTAGCTGGCATGGGGCCACCATACACAGACCAGTCCTGTGCCTTTTCCCCAAACAGCCCTACGAGAGTGGCAGAGCCCGTTAGGGGACCTCATGCATCAAGGGTGATAATTGGGGTGAATGTAGTGGAGAGCATCCCTCCGCCCTTTGGTGATATTTCATTACAGGGAATGCAGCAATAAAATGAGGGTAGGAGAGGCTTTCCTACCCTCCCCCTCCCACCCCAATCCTATAAAGTAGAGTCTAAGAATCTCTGAAAGGCCCATGTTGAACAGTGTACATGTTGGTCATCTGGCTTGCCAATTTGGATCCCATAAGGGTACAGCCAGCAGTAAAATGCGAACTGATGGTCATGAGACATTGCACAGGCTCGCACAGTGCTATCAGTACGCTCGTGGAAGGGCTCACTCTTCTCCACCATTTGTCATATCTAACAGTCCTCATGGGTATCCCTTGACAAAGCATGCCTGTGCATTGGAGAAATTCCCAAGTGCCAAGAAGGAACCTCTGACATGGTGAGGAGGTTAGGGAGGATCCTACTCTCGAAACCAGGCAGGTCCAGACAGTCAAGGATTTGTCATACCCAGGGGCAGGAAAGCTGTGACTGGGATACAACAGGCCAGGCACGGTGGCTCAAGCCTGTAATCCCAGTGTTTTGGAAGGCCAAGTCAGGCAGATCACTTGAGGCCAGGAGTTCAAGACCAGCTGGCCAACATGGAGAAACCCTGTCTCTACTAAAAATACAAAAATTAGGCTGGCACAGTGGCTTAGGCCTGTAATCCCAGCACTTTGGGAGGCTGAGGCAGGTGGATCACCTGAGGTCAGGAGTTCAAGACCAGCCTGGCCAACATGGTGAAATCCCATCTCTACTAAAAAACAAAAAAAACAAAAAAACCAAAAATTAGCTGGGCATGGTGGTGTGCACCTGTAGTCTCAGCTACTCGGGAGGCTGAGACAGGAGATTTGCTTGAACCCGGGAGTGGAAGTTGGAGTGAGCCAAGATCACACCACTGCACTCCAGCCTGGGTGACAGATCAGACCCTGTCTCCACAAGGAATAAAAAAAGACAGGGATACAACAATTCTCTTGTGTTTCCAGGGTAATTCTCTGCTGTGCATGCCCAACGTGCTCAAGCTATACTTGGAGAATGGACAGACCAAAGCTTTCAAGTTTGAGGCAAACACAACCGTGAAGGTATTAAGAATAAACTTGAACTTCTTTCCCAAGAGAATGTCTGGCTGCTAGGACCCTCAGGCATCTTGCCCCGCATCTGTCTTGGTGATCTCACAAACACCATGGTCTGAGACCCTGTAATAATAAGCCAAGTACCATGTTATCTCATTTAGTTGCACAACCACCCAGAAAGATGGTATTTTTACCACCATCTTAACTGAGTGGGGGTTAGGGGGTGGGAATCAGGACTTACAGAGATGAAATGACTTGCCCAAAGGTCAGATTAGAACTCCTAAGCCTTCACCCATAACCCCCAGACTTCCCTGCCATTTGTCTGTGACTCTACCTGCTACCCCAAACACTAGAGCAGCCAAAAACCCAGGTGAGATGTCAGGAAAGGCCCAGGCGCTACCTATTCTGTTCTTTGTTAAAATCAATTGAACTTATACTTCACAAGTTTCCCCATATGAGATGGTCTGAGAGGGGTTGCTGAGCTTAGTCAAAGGTGGTCTCTGTCTTCAGGAGCTTGCAGTCTAGTTGAGGGAGGGTGGACATTCAGGGAATGCTCAGTTGTCCAAGGCAGGATGAAATAAAGGCCACGTGCAAGGGGAAGAGTACCATCTGTTCCAGCCTGTCCGGACATCAGACAAGGCTTGGAAAAGAAGCTGGACCTGTGCTGAGCTTTGGAGGACAACTGAGATTTCAACAAGGGCTGGTAGGGACAGGGCAGTTGAGGGTAGGGTACGTGTCAATCAGAGAGTCACGTGAACTAACACAGCCAGAAAAATGGGAATTGCCCAGGAGATAGCAAACCATTCAGCAGGACTGGGGCACAGGCTGTTTTCTTGTGGAAGGAGTGGCTGTGGAGGGCCTCAAATGCCAGGCAACAACAGAGCTTGAGTTTTATCCATAGATAATAATGTATGGTGCTAACAGTTCTTAAACAAGGGAGTAAATAGTGTTAGAGTGAGGCTGCAGTAAAGAAGCAAGTTGTTCAAACATTAAAAACCATGTAAGAGGAAACATTGAGCCCAGCTCTTCTGGTACAAGCGGGAGAGCAGGTTCAGGAGGGCCATGCATCTATAGTGACAAACAGTAGCCAAGACACATGCACACACATACATCTGCACAGTACATTCACACACGCATATGCATGCACACATATGTACAATGTACATACACCTGCATGCACACATCTAGTGTTTCTCTCTGGCACCTTCATTTGGCAATTCTTACAGCTGCTCCAAATGCTCTGTTCTATTTCTTCCTAAATGTGACTTAGAAGAAGCTGGAGAAGGGCTTTCTGACCTGGGGAACTCCAAGTCCAGAGGAGGAAGGCAAGGGAGGAATAGATTTTAAGTGTTTACTACATGCCAGGCACTCTTCCTGGGCACTTTCTTGTGTACGCTCTCATTTAATGCCCTAGCAACCTTGTGAAGTAACTAGTGTTATCCCCACTTTGCAGGTGAGAAAACAGGCCCAAGAGGTCCAAAAATTGTCAAGGTCAGCTAGCTCATAACTGGCTTCAAACTTGTTCTGTTTTTGAACCCTGTGCTGGATCTTGTCACTCTGCCATTCTGCAGAAAAGGGAAGCTCTGCAAATGGATTAGACAAGAGTTCTACTTTCATCATCTTTGATCAAAGTGGATTGGAATAGAAGGGTTGATTTTTTTAAAGCAAGTCCCCCTTTGGTGGCCAAAAGGACTTTGAGGTAATTTACAATAAAGGCTCACGTTACAGGGGAATTAAACTTAAGATGATAGAGAGTTGGGGAAATGAACAAGGACTTAGCCAGTATAATACTGGTTAATCTTATTTATCTGTAGTAGCCAAATTTTTTAAAGCAAAGCCTTTATCCACACAGAGAGAGGTGGATAAAAATAAATCTTATGAGTGAAAAAAGGAAAAATTACTGTCAGCTCATCAGTGACTTATCTTCCCCTTTCCCTTACTAAGGGAAGAAAAGTTCTTGTATTAGAAAATCCTTTTTCTCTAGGCCGGGCGCGGTGGCTCAAGCCTGTAATCCCAGTACTTTGGAGGCCGAGGCGGGTGGATCACGAAGTCAGGAGATCGAGACCATCCTGGCTAACATGGTGAAACCCCGTCTCTACTAAAAATACAAAAAACTAGCCGGGCGTGGTGGCGGGTGCCTGTAGTCCCAGCTACTCGGAGGCTGAGGCAGGAGAATGGCGTAAACCCGGGAGGCGGAGCTTGCAGTGAGCCGAGATCGCGCCACTGCACTCCAGCCTGGGTGACACAGCGAGATTCCGTCTCAAAAAAAAAAAAAAAAAAAGAAAATCCTTTTCTCTAAATCAAGAAAAAGAATATGTCATTTGACTCAGTAAAAACTTATTAACACTTTTTATGTGCCAGGCATTTCTGTATCACCAACAACTTGGCAACAGATTACCCAGGGGCCAGGTGCAGTGGCTCATGCCCGTAATCCCAGCACTTTGGGAAGCCAAGGTGGGCAGATCACCTGAGGTCAGGAGTTTGAGACCATCCTGGCCAACATGGTGAAACCCCATCTCTACCGATAATACAAAAACTAGCCAGGCGTGGTGGGTGCAAACCTGTAGTCCCAGCTACTTGGGAGGCTGAGGCAGGAGAATTGCTTGAACCTGTGCTGCTGCACTACAGCCTGGGCGATGAGAGCGAAACTGCATCTCAAAAAAATAAATAAAATAAACAAATAAATAAATAAATTACCAGGGTTATACTCTTAGGAAGCCTGAAGTCTTGGGGTGGGGGTAGGGTGAGGAGATGAGACTTGGGGACAAATCCCAGTGAAATGAGGTACAGTGTGCTTAAGACCGTGAAAGCAGGACAGAAGCCATGTGGTGCAGGCTCAGGGGAGAGCAAGCTTCCAGCTGGGTGGCAAGTAAAGGCCTCTGGGGAATGGAGTGGTAGCCTGCATGGCAGATGTAGAGAGATAGATTGGCTTTTGACTGGAGTGGGCCAGGAGTGATGTGTGAAGGCAACATCCAGGCATGAGGAACAGCACCAACAAAGATCCAGAAATGGGCAGGTTTGACAAGTGCGTGGCTCCTGTGGGCAGAACGCATTGGGATAAGCAGCCGAAGATAAAGTGGGAGAAGTGGGTTGACAACTGATACCTTGAGAGTCTTGGATATTAAACTAAGGAGTTTGGATTTTGGCCAGTGAGCCATCAAGAGCCACTGAATGTTCTGAGCAAGGGAGAGCATGCCCAGTACAAGGCTTAGACAAATTCCTCTAGATCAAGAGTCAGCAAACCTTCTGTAAAGGGCCAGATAGTGAATATTTTAGGTTTTGCAAGCCACAGGGTCTCTGTCATAGTTATTCAACTCTGCCATTGTAGCAAATGCGCATGGCTATATTCCCATAAGACCTTAATTACAAAAACAGGCAGTGGGCTGGATTTGCTCCACAGGTTACATTTACCAACGTTTGCTCTACATGCAAGGGTGGCAGGAGGGTTCACAGGACATCCCTGTACAAAGCCAGGAGAAATGCATGAGCGCAAGCCGAGGTAGACATGGGAGAATGGAGAAGGGACAGAGTCAAGAGACAGGCTTTCCACTGGAGCCAGCACAATGCCAGGCACACAGGCAGCACTGAATTAATGGTGTGGAGCTGCAGAAGCAAATGGACCCTTTGAGACTAGTCACTGGGTAGTTATGGGGGTGAGGAACGAGTGGAGAGAGGGTTCCGAATCAGGAGTCATGAGGAGGGAGTAGCACCTCATGGTGTGAGACTTACTACATTTGAGGTTCTGGCAGGACATTTGTGATTGTTGTTTACTCACCAAGTGAAAGTTTGTGTGCATCTACTATGTGCCAAGCATGGGATATACTGCATAATGGAGCACAGCACAGGCAAGGCCCACATCCTCAGAGAGTTTACCATCTAGTGAAGTGAAAGACAATAAGCAAGAAAACAGAGATTAGCAGTTGGCATGCGTTGAATACATATCATCTGCTAGGTGCTGTCCTAAGTGCCTTCTAAGGGGAAATCAATTCAATGTACACAACAACCCTATGAGATAGGTGTTAATATTATTCCCATTCTACAGGTGAAAACACTGAGGCATAGAGAGAAGAAGCAATTACAGCTAGGAATTGGAGTGGAGGTCTAGAACCCATTCACTTAACTTTACAATGGCTGTTAATTGAAGAAAATAATATTAAATAATGGTGAGGGAAATAAACAGGACACTGGGACAGAGAATAATAGGGATGATACATTTATGTATGCTGGCCAGAGAAGGCCTCTCTAAGAGGCGACATTTGAGCTGAAACTCGAAGGAAGAGAAAGAAACAGACCTGGAAAGAGTAATGGGGAAAGTATACTGGGCAGAGGGAACAGCGTGTGTGAATGCTTCGAGGCAGCAAAGACCTTGTGGTCACAGAGGGCTTCTCTAGTGAGCAAGAAGAGTGGCGTGGCAACCAGAATGCCTCAGCGCAGCATTCACGACCATTCCATCCTGTCAGCCACTCTCGGGAAGTCGGAAGTAGGCATTATTGTCCTCTATTTGGAGAGGAAGCGACTGAGGTTCAGAAGTGTCCCTCAGTTGTGGCCGAATGTGGTGGCTCATGCCTGTAATCCCAGCACTTTGGGAGGCTGAGACTGGCAGATCACCTGAGGTCGGGAGTTGAGACCAGTCTGGTCAACATGGTGAAACTGCATCTCTACAAAAAAATACAAAAAATTAGCTGGGCATGGTGGCACACGCCTGTAATCCCAGCTACTTGGGTGGCTGAGGCACGAGAATCGCTTGAACCCAGGAGGTGGCAGTTGCAGTGAGCCAAGATTGCGCCATTGCACGCCAGCCTGGGCAACAGAGTGAGATTCCGTCTCAAAAAAAAAAAAAAGTTGTTTCCCTCAGTTGCATAGTGAGTGTGTGGTGGGATTTTGTCTAGTAAGCAGTCAAAGATACAGACTGGGAGCCTGGCCAATGTGGCAAAACCCTGTCTCTACTAAAAATACAAAAAAATTAGTTGGGTGTGGTGGTGCACGCCTGTAATTCCAGCTCTTTTGGAGGCTGAGGCAGGCAGATCACTTGAGGTCAGGAGTTCAAGACCAGCCTGGCCAACATGCCAAAACCCTGTCTCTATTAAAAATACAAATACAAAAATGAGCCGGTTATGGTGGCATGTGCCTGTAATCCCAGCTACTCGAGAGGCTGAAGCAGGCGAATTGCTTGAACCCAGGAGGCAAGGGTGGTAGTGAGCCAAGATCATGCCTCTGCACTCCAGCTTGGGTGACAGCCTGAAGACTCTCTCAAAAAAATAAAAAAATAAAAAGAGAGACTGGGAACTGCAGAGGGAGAATAAGTCTAGAGACATAGGAGAGAGGCAGAAGCCTCCACTGGATAGACTCAGCCTTCCAAGTAAAGCAAGACAGGGTGGCTGTATGGATGGTGATGGAGCTTGAGGAGACGGGAGCTGTGGCTGCAGGGCTGTAAGGGGCCTGATGAGGGGGACAGAGCCCTGCCTAAGTCAGCATTGGGCCTGTCAGTGCAGGCTTTTCTCTCCTAGCTGCCACTAAGGAATGGCAGGAAGGCTAGGGAAGTCCTCCCTGTTCCTGAGTAACCCCTCCACCTCTCTGTGCCTGCTAGGACATCATCCTCACTGTGAAGGAGAAGCGTCCATCCGAAGTATCGAGTACTTTGCACTGGCCCTGGAAGAGCAGTACAGCATCTCCCGGCTGCACCTGCTACACGAAGAGGAACTCATCCAGCAGGTAGGGAGGACTGGACCGCCTGTTCCTGGGAGGCATGGGCTGGGCTGGCTGCACGCCTCAACCAGAACCTCTGGGGACAGGGCTCAGCACATCTGCAGGTTTGATGCACTTTCTCTTGCCCCAGAAGGCACAGAGCTCACTCAGCCTGGGGGTTATGGGACAAGCCTGATTTTCATCTGCTAGTATGAGGTAGGCAGGACACAGATTAAGGGTCCTCTCCATTTTGCAGATGTGGAGACAAAGGCTTAGAGAGGGAAGGTGATTTTCTCAAGGTAACATAGCTGATAGAACCCTGATCTTTTGGCTTCTAGCTCTTGATGATCTTCCCTTGCACTTGCTGCCTTTGAGCCATTAGGGAAGCATTTGTGGCTGTGTCTAAGCCCTTCTTGTGGGACTTACCCCCTGATATGGTTCCTGATGGCAAAATAGAGGTAAACATAGCCAAACAGTCTATACCATCAATTCCCAACCATTCAATAATATGTGCACCAACTTTTTAAAGGCTAAACACAGGTTAGTTCAACCAAATCTTTCTGAGTCGTTACAAAGATGAGGAGGATTTTAACAGTTGGAAATGAGTAAGAACATAACCTCATAAAAGCCACCCTGAACATTCCTCTTTGCAGATGAATTTCTTACCCAATGCCTCACCGATTAGAAAGTTTACTGCTTGTAGACTTTTTAATTACTTCTATTTCCATTTGCATTGGGAAAGAAAATCAAATTAAATTCCTAAGATAGTTTAAGTGAAATAAGGTAAGTCGTAGAATGGTAATTATACCTATATTATTATTTGTGGAAGATAAAAGAATAGACTTATACTGAAGTACAAATATACATAAACTGTCTCTGGAAGGGGCACAACAACAGAAACTGAAAGCAGGAGTTCCTCTGGAAAAGGAAACTGGAAGATGGGTTGAGTGGGAAATGCTGCCCTTTTGAACCTTTTACCTTTTTTGTACCCATTGAAAAAAGAAAGTCAAATTAGGAGCAAAAGTCTATGGCTGTCTTGGGAAGCACAGAATTGAAATCTCTGGGGCTGTCTTTCACTGTCTGTGTTTTAATAGAGTAGTTTTGTGGATCCACTGCCACGGAACAAGGCATTTAGGAGATTAAAATCTCCCCTACCCATGCGAGGTGGTTAAAAGGGAGGATCAAGACTACCGCTGCCTCTAGGGGTCTGTTGTTTCCAAGGACCCCCTGGACCTCCTGAAAGAAGACCCCTGGCCTTTTGAATACCTCTATCTGCAGGTAGACTGGGTTGTGCTCCTAAAATAACAGTGGTTGTTCTCGAGATCGCACGGGTGTTTAACTAGCTCGAGGCCATTACAAATCCCTGGTAGGGGATTATTTTACTGAAGGAGAATGGGCCTGATCATCGCTCAGAATTGCCTTTTCCGTCACAAGTTGCTGTTTTTAGCAGATGTGTAATATCAGAATGAAATTCAGCTCATCCCCATGTAGATATACATTTTGATAATACCATTTTAGGATCTTTAGAATTACAGTTTTTTATTGCTAAAAGGGGCCTTAAGTGCTTCAAAACCTCATTTTAGAATGATGACACTGAGTCTGGGAAGGTCATTGATTTGTCTGGGTCACCCACTTAGTGGCAGAGCCAAAACCTAGTTCTTGATCTGGGGGCCTGGTGCTCCCCTATTCTACCTCCTTAGATGAAGTTATTATGTCATATTTATTCTGATGAAAAAATAATCATTTGGAGCCAGGTGCGGTGGCTCATGCCTGTAATGTCAGCACTTTAGGAGCCAAGGCAGGTGGACCACTTGAGGTCAGAGTTTGAGAAACAGCCTCCACCAAACAGCTGAAACCCCATCTCTACTGATAATACAAAAAATTAGCCAGGCATGGTGGCGCACACCTATAGTTCCAGGTGCTTGAGAGGCTGCGGTGGAGAATCACTTGAACCTGGGAGTGGGGTTGCAGTGAGCCAAGATCATGCCATTGCACTCCAGCCTGGGTGACAGAGCGAGATTCTGTCTCCAAAAAAGAAAAAAGAAAAAAGAATCATTGGCAGATATCAGGTATTTTACAGATGAGATAACTCAGACTAGGTGGATCTGGACTGCCCCAAGTCTTACAGAAATGGTGGCAGAAAATAATAATAATAATAGCAATAACAATGCCATCAATATTTGTATTTGTATAACACTGTGTGCCTTGTACCTGCTTTCATATACGTTATCTAATTTAAGTCTCACAAAACCACGTAAGGTAGATTTACTATCCCATTTTACCAGACATCAACATGCTCAGAGAGTCTTGGCAACTTAACCAAGGTCACACAGCAAAGAACTGTGAGAGCCAGCTCTCAAAGCGGAAGCTCCTGGTCCTGCTGCCTTTCACCTGAGAAAACGAGGGTACACAATAGTCTGCTTTTGTTTCCCATCTGCCTCTATTAATTCTTCTAGAGCTGCCGTATGATGTGCTCCAGGAGCGCTTTGCTGTAGAAATGGAAATGTAGCTCTGCACTCCGACTCGCGGCTCTGCACATCCAGGAGCGGATCTACGCCTGTGCCCAGCCACAGAAGATCTCTTTAAAGTATATAGAGTGAGTGGCAGGGGATGGCAGCTGCATTGCATTTATAACTTGCTGGCCCCTGGCCAGGAGGGCCAGATGCCACAGAAAGCTGATAGTCACCCACCTACCCATGTATCTGTCTGTTGTCTTTTCATCCATTTCCCTCTGCACCCTTTCTAATCCGACCTGGCTCCCCCAGATGTCTGAACCTGGCTGCTCTCTCTGGGACAGAAGCCAACTCCAGATGGAACGACACAGGATCCCCTTGTAAATTCCCAGTTCCCGGGAAGATGTTTTGGGAAATCAGTTGCCGGCATCAGTGTTAAGCTCTTCTAGGGGTGGGAATGCCTTGAAATTAATTTTTCCCATGGATATGAACCAGTTCCTATTGCATTATGTCTCCACTAGGGCAGTTTCAAGTCCTACAATTTCAGCACCTTCTGATTCCTAGCTTAGAATTGTTCTGGACAGCATCACTCAGGTTTGCTAAGCCCCTCCCCAGATCTCAGCTCTGTCCTGCCTGAGCATCAGAATCAGATGGGGAATCATATTTTTAAAAATACAGCAGATCCTTGGCCCTGTCCCTGATGTACTGAGTCCAATCTCTAGCAGCAGGGCCTGAGCTTCGGTAGTTTTAGCAAGTTTCTGGGGGATTCTGAGGCTGCTAGGCTGGCACCATGCTGAAGCTT